TTCATATATATTACATTGAGCCGAATAAGCCATGTACCCTGTTGAACCCACTACATATTTTAGTGCTGTCATTTTTTTGCTGGTGAAAGAGCAAGGCCAACAGTGATTTTAACGTTCTTCTATTTTATCTTATTCAGCTCCCTCAACAAAAATACATTCTCATAGCTTAATCTAATCACCGCCTCACTCCCCTAAACTTTAGACTCTATTAGCCTGAGAAATCCGGACCCAACTCAGTGAGCTCTTTGTCCCACATCCTCGTGGCCCATAAACGTAACCTCTAGGGCAATGTTACAAAGAGTGGTATCTTTATACCACCTGCATTCTTGTCACCAAACATGTAAGCTAAAAAGTCAGATTCTGAGCACGGTCGCTCACACCTGTAATCCCAGCACTGAGGTCAGGAGTTCGAGAGCAGCCTGGCCAACATGGTGAAACCCTCTCTACTAAAACTACAAAAATTAGCCGGGCATGGTGACAGGCACCTGCAATCCTGGCTGAGGCAGGAGAATCACTTGAACCTAGGAGGTGGAGGCTGCAGTGAGCCGAGATCACACCATTGCACTCCAACCTGGGCGACAAAGGGAGACTCTGTCTCAAAAAAATAAAATTCAGATTCCAGGAGCTGACCCTACACCTCCCTAATTAGAATCTCAGAGGGTGGGCCCTGGGAATCTGCATAATGCATAAGCTTCTCAGAGCTGTGATATACAGGAAACCATGAGAATCTGTTCTGGAAACTTCAGAGAGCTTGGCTGGGGGCTACCCCACGATTTGGTGGAGTCCCTGAATCTCCTATTAGCTCTGACACTGACAACACTTCAAATATCATAGAAGGCAAGCATTGAAATGTGTTTATAGTTCTCAGAAATATTCATAAAACCTTTTGGGATTCAGAGTTAAAGAGAAGACAGGAACTGAATTTGGCCCCTGATCTGTTATCATTTGGCAGTAAGGTACATATTCAACATTAGGATAATCCCATGTAAGCCCTGAATCTGACCTTCTTTCATCTTTCACACTGACCACTCTGTCCATAAACACAGGATTAAATGAGGAACTAAAATTCACCAAGAACCTGCCAGGTGCCAGGCACAGTGCTGGGTGCCTTTCACACTCGCCTCTCATTTAACCAGCCACCTACGAAATGGATGTGATTTACCACCATCCGGTGGAAGAGGATATTCAGGGCACAAGAGTGTAAATAAGCTGCTGGGTGGGTAGATTCAGCATTAATAAATAATCAGATAGATAAGTTAGGTAGTTACGTAAGCTGTCAGATTAGTAAACTGCTAGTTTCAAATTCCAGCTCCAACTGGGATCTGCATGTTGCATGACCCTTGGGGAAACTCAACCTCTGAGTCTCACAGCACTGCTGATCAAATGGGAAACATCATCTAACAGGGTTCTGAGGACTCGAGGTGCACCTGGGCACACAGAGCACCCGGGACGCAGCCTGGCCTTCAGTCAGCGGTGGTGGGTCTCCACTCTCCTCTCCACTCCCTTCCAGCCCCTGCATTCAAAAACTTTTTTTTTTTTTAAATTTAGGAGCCTCTTTGCTTAGAAACCTGAAAAGGCTTCTGTTACTTTATCTTATTTATTGTTTTTGAGATGGAGTCTTGCTTTGTTGCTCAGGCTGGAGTGCAGTGGTGCAATCTCAGCTCACTACGACCTCCGCCTCCCAGGTTCAAATGATTCTCCTGCCTCAGCCTCCTGAGTAGCTGGGATTACAGGCACCCTCCACCATGCCTGGCTAATTTTTGTATTTTTAGTAGAGATGGGATGTCACTATGTTGGCCAGGCTGGTCTCAAACTCCTGACATCATGATCCGCTCGCCTCGGCCTGCAGAGTGCTGGGATTATAGATGTGAGCCACTGCACCCGGCCAATACTTTATTGATTTATTTTTCAACCTCTGAGAGCACAGAACAGGCTTCTGCTCCTTTAAATAACTTTGACAGGTGCCAAGGAACACTGTTAACTCTTTGTTAATTCTGTAGGTTCACATTTAGGAAAAAGAAACTGTTAGCCTCTGATTTCTTTCCAGCTTACAAAAAGGTTGTGGTGCTGGCAGCCTGGGAGAAGCAGCTCCCTCCCGTGAGTCATGCTTCCAGCCAGTGAAGAACAGGAAACAGTCATATCACTGTTGCCAACAACCACCGCAAATCTCTTCCACCGCAGGGCTTTCCCAGATGACGTCAATGAGCTGAGCGCAGAGCATCACCCTCACCAGATGGCCCTGGGAGACTCTCAGCTGCCTTGCCAAGTTTAGCTTCTCAAGTTCCCCAGAACCAGCATGGCAAGGATCACCCCGCCAGAAAAGAAAATGATTTCTCTGATCATGATCAAGCCGTGTCATGATTTTAGCTGTGGGTGGTGAGTCTCAGTGACTGTACTATAAATGGCTTTGGTTCACAGCTATTTTTTTCTCTGCGTATTACTGTCAAGGGCAAAGGGGTAGCATTTATCACAACATTATGATTCACTCTACTAGATTGGCTGTGATGTCATTTCATCTTTGAGTGCTTGAACTCAGGTCAAAAGGATGTCAGAATTAGACAGCCAGAGTTAGATGCATGCTCTAGGCCTCCTGGTAATCTATCCTGGACCATGGCCACTAAACACAAGCTGCAGTGATGACTGTTGATGCTAGCCAATTGACTGGTCCCCCTTCTCATAATCCATGATCCACACAGACATGAATCTAAACCTTTTTTTTTGAACCTACCTTTTTCTTACTAGTTTTCTTACATATTTTGGAGTAACATGTTCCCTGGTTATGATATCCAATGTGTGAAACACTAATTGCATTTATTGGTCCTAAATAGATTCCTAAGTCTAGGATTTGGGGATTCTGTGCACAAACCCACTTTGTTTCTGCTCACGTTGTTCATGACTTTACGGATTCTGCTTACAGTCCCCCCAAAGCCTTGGTCTTTCTAACAGAAATCTGACCAGCCTGTCCCCACTCTGCCTCCTCCACCACCCTGACTGTTAACACATATGCTGTTGTGGGGAAAGCTTTTCGTAACACACAAACAAATCAACAATAAGGAAGAACACAGCTGAAGCACAGAAGGACGATTTTAGCCTGGACTTAGGCTTGTTGAACAGTAATCATACTATCTCGTGAGTTGTCTAAATACAGAGGGAGACAGCATCTTTACAGGATGGGTTTGGAGTCTGAATTAAATAAACGACTTGGCAAAAGAAGGAAGAACCCAACAGCTGGGTGACCGGGGTTTCTGGGATTCTCCTCAACCCTTCCCACGCCTACAGGCTCTGATTCTATCCACACCACTGCTCCTACACCTTCTGTTTTTTCCTTTTACAACAAATAATAATGCTTGTTTATTATTCATAAGTATTGAAATAAGTCTCTCTAATTTGGAGTCCTCCAAATGAGAACTTCCATATACTTAAATTCCTGTGGCATCACCATGGTGTGCAGGTCATCAATATGTGGTCTGAAGATGGGCAAAGTAGGTCATCGCAACAGGAAGTGAGTTCAAATCACACCGTGAGTTGATGGCAACAGCATATGAGTTCAGGGGCCAAATATGAGCTCTGATGGCTGTGACACAGTCCTCACCTTCAGAGATGGCATTCTCCCAGAAGTCCAGGGTGCAGAAATGGATAGGCTGATGTTCACTTTTGAAGAGGACCACAATGGAACCCTTTTAATAGTACTTAATGGTTCCACAGCTTCCTGGGTGTCAAATCAGGTGAATCTATTTTTAAAAGTTGCTGTTTACTTTTTTAGGTGGCTGATCAAGACAGTATGAAATTTCATACAGTTTCCTAACTTGAGAAAACATGACGATGTGATTCCTCCAACCGCGAGGGATTTGTGGACAGCCGTGGCTGCGTCCTAATCTGCCCTGAATACAGGATGACTAAACAAACTGGCAGAAGGACGCAGCTTTCTCTCTCTCCAAGAAAAGTCTGCTGAGAACTCTCGTTCTCACACTGTTTCTACCTCCAAGAAGAAAAGCCTAAAACTTGCTTTCTTCCGGACTCTGTAAAGGTCAGTCAAGTTCCTTCCCATGGGGTTCTATATTCAGATACTTTGGGGATTGATGACGGATCATAAACGTGGCTAAAGTTCATCTGAGTCCATGGCCTCTGGTTTCAGAACTATTCAGCCTGTCAAATGTTTCATTTTCAGTGAGGCAGGGGAAAGGAAACCCCTTCGAAGGTTGCTATGCAGCAGTACATACTCACAATTCACAATTAATTACACTCCAGTTTCTAAACATATGTTACTTTAAAATTTATAGAGTGCTTACCAATTTTAAAAATTTCATTTCATGCTCAAAATATTCTCAGGAGGTAGCTGCTGTCACACCCATTTGCACAAGCAAGAAGCTGGGGCTTAAAGAGGTCATGTCGCTTAAACCCAGACCTGCCTGATTCCAAAGCTTTTTTTTTTTTAAACTTCTATTTTGAAATAATTATATTAAGTCACATGAGGTTGCAAAGAAATGGAAGGTCTCATGTGCCCTTTCCCCAGCCTCCTCCAGTGCTGCATCTAAGAAACTGACATTGGCACAATCCAAAGAGCCTACCCAGAGTTCAGCAGTTATCCACTCACTTGTGTGTGTGTGCACGTGTGTGTGCAGCTCTATGCAATTCTGTCATTCTCTTTTTATACATGAACCGTTCACTGTTCTACCAATTTTAAATATGAAGTCAGATTACAGAAATGAATAAAATGATTTTTCCTTTACTACAACAGCATCTACCAATAATTACATACACGACCAAACAGCTTTCATTTCTAGTTGCCATTAAGAAGAAAAAAGGAAGAAAAGAAACGAAACCTACAAACCCCAGTTCTTAAAAGTATTAGTCTGTGCTATGTGCCTTTATGGGCTCATCTTCTGGAGATGACGATAGGTACACATTAAGGAAACAAAAGTTGTCGATTTGTTGATAATTATGACAGCAATCCTCTCTCTTGTCAGAAAGTTCTATAAGTAAAATAAAGATGATTTTACCTTGACTTCAGAGTTAGTCTCATGGTCTTCCTTTCCCAAGGAGTTCAACTCTGTCTCGGTATGAGGTTCCTCAGACGTTCTCAGGGGAGGAGCTAGAGGGACTAAGAAGACCTGCCATTAATTCGGTTATTCGACTTATAAATTATAACTCACTTTGCCTGACTTGGACAATTAGCTGGACCATGTCAACATGGTTAACTAAAACAAGCCCAGCTGAGCTGCTGCACTGATTTCCTAGGTGGTGGATGAAACTGGAGGTGAAGGAGAGACACAGAAAAGAAACAGAATCCTTGACTGCAGGGAATTGACATTTCAGCAGAAGAGAAAAAAGTCACACCCAGCACCACACGAAACACCAAACTACAACAAATCAGCAAACACAGTAATGTGGCAGTAAAGAGCAGTAGAGTTTTTGTCATTACCGTTTTTAAGGCCCAGCTAAGAGGTTGCTTTCAGCCAGACTTGGTGGCTCACACCTGTCATCCCAGCACTTTGGGAGGCTGAGGCGGGCAGATCACCTGAGATCTGGAGTTCGAGACCAGCCTGGACAACATGGTAAAACCCCAAGTCTTCGAAAAATACAAAAATTAGCTGGGCACAGTGGCACATGCCTGTAATCCCAGCTACTTGGGAGGCTGAGGCAGGAGAATGGCTTGAACCTGGGAGGCGGAGGTTGCTGTGAGCCGAGATCAAACTGCTGCACTCCAGCCTGGGCGACAGAGTTTGACTCCACCTCAAACAAACAAAATGGCACTTTCCTTATGAAGTCTTCCCCAAGACACACGTTATGGATTCTCTTATATACTGCTGCTTTGGCACACAGCACGTGTACAGCATGCTTTTGTACTTGATGCTGTTCTTGGTTTGAAGACTCAATTCTAGGTACCACACTGTATTGAAGATATTTTCCATTACAAAGGTAATAATTTGTGCTTATTACAGGAAGTCTGAAAAACACTAAAATCTTAACACTGAAGCATAATCACTTGGCATATTTCCCTACAGTCTTCTTTCAAATGCTCTCCCTCTGTTTACACACCCACCTGTACACACACACTCATACTATGATTATATTGTAAGGGGATGGCCATGCCTGCCCTAGCCAGAAGTTGCTGCAGCTAATCTGACGGTATCACTGTTGGATTCCATTCCTGATGGACCCATGCTTACCAGTGGATGGGAGGACTATGTGTTAGAATCCGTTGGCTGAGTCGGGATTGGGCTGTCTTGCCCTTGCTCCTTCCTCTCGGTCACTCTATCTCCCTTCTCCCCTCCCCATGAGGGCCTAGACACCTGGGAAACATCTTTTCTCAAGCTCTATGGCCATTTGGAAGTAAAAGTGGGACTTGAAGAGAAGAAGCCCTGGGTGGGCCTTGAGGTTTCTTAACCCACCTTACCAGCTTTGCCAAGCATGGAGGGTGACGGCCACAAGGCTAACAGATAAACGGTACTTTGAGTTCTTATTTGTCACAGTCATCATAAACGGTACTTTGAGTTCTTATTTGTCACAGTCATCACCCCTGTATATGCTGTTCCCTTGAGAAACTCACAGGAGGCATGTGGTTAATCCCAGGATTTGAGGACTTCTAGGTCCCAAGGCCAAAATGCCATTCATCAAATGCCATCAAGATATCACCCTGATTCTTAGCTATGGTAGACTTGATGGAGGTTGACCATCTGACCTCCAGAGGCCCCTCCCAACCCTCGCATTCTGTAAGCCAACTGGAAGCAGCTTGGGCTTTCTATGGGTTTTTCATAGATTAATGTTATATTGAAAATTGTAGAAAAGGTCAAGCGTGGTGGCTCACACCTGTAATCCCAGCATTCTGGGAGGCCGAGGCAGGTGGATCCCCTGAGGTCAGGAGTCCAAGACCAACCTGGCCAACATGGTGAAACCCCGTCACTACCAAAAATACAGAAATTAGCTGGGTATGGTGTCGGGTGCCTGTAATTCCAGCTACTTGGGAGACTGAGGCAGCAGAACTGCTTGAACTAGGGAGGCAGAGGTTGCAAGGAGCTGAGATCGAGCCACTGGACTCCTGCCTGGGCAAAAAGAGCAAAACTTCATCTTAAAAAAAAAAAAAAAAAAAAAAAAGAAAAGAAAATTGTAGAAAAGTACCCTGCCACCCCAGGTTATATATATGACCATTAATGCTGCTGTGTCATAACAGACAATCCTTTGGGCTCCTCCGTCTCTGTGGAATCTCTATAAAGTACGTGATTCCAGGCATAGTAACTAGATGTTAGAAATGCATGCACTATGGCCCGTGACACCATGACTGAGAAGCACCTGCCCTTGACATTGTAAGTACAGTGAAGGAGTGAAAGGCAGGGGCACAGACGCCACATGGCCAGGGTTCAAGCCTTGTTCTTCCATGCACGAGCCACACATGACTATAGTCAGCTCTGTGCCTCACCCTCTTCATCTGTAAAGCAGGGAAAAACAAGAAATCCCACAGTAAAGGGCTGTTATCAGGCTTGAATGAGTTAATATGTGAAGAATGTAGATCATATATAATGCATAACTCATTTTAGCTATGATTATAGCCACGTGGCATTAAAAAGCTTTTTCACATTCCTTATGAACGTCAGAAGTGTTAAAAGCTGTAGCCGAGGCATCCAGCTAACAAGAGTCGGAGCTGACATTCCAGCTCTGAAGTCCCTCCACCCATCTTCTTTCTTTACACTGTGAAATACCATTGCTTATCTTGGCACAGACTCAGTTACTAAGAAATCAGATAAAAATGTTTGAAAATTCTTTTAGTGACTTGCTGGAGTCCACTCTCAGTAGATACTCGCCAAACACAAAAGGGCAGGATTGTTCTGCTAAACAAGCTAGTTGTCTGACTTAGGTCACTGACAACCTGTTCAGACTTGATGAAGACCTGTTTATTCTGGGAAGGAGTATTATCTGTTATGAAATCTTGTATTTGAAAAGCTGAGAAACAAATCTATAATTCCTGCTTTATTTACTTGAAACAAACATATGTGCCTTGAAACAGTGACTGAGGCCAAGTCACAGTCGTGAACATAGTTGAGCTTGAGGAAAGGTGAAAGGTCAAGAGAACCAAGCTCTGTTTCCAACCATCTAAGAAGGATGTCTCTGTGTATGTTTGGGTGTGTCTGTGGTATATGTATGCATGTGTGTTAGAGTGTGTATGCAGATGTGTGTGTGTGTTTGCAGACAAAAGTTCAGGAAAAAAAAATCCCTAAATGTTATCAAGGCTTCATTCTAAGGATTCTAGGATACATGACGGAAGACAAGGAACTGTAAATTGTACTAAGTGGAGAACTACCAAAACACCCCAGAATTTCCCGATAAGCAAAAATGAAAGAATATATTGCTAACAGGCCAGGCATGGTGGCTCACAACTGTAATTCCAGCTCATAGGGAGGCAGAGGCGGGAGGATAGCTTGAGCCCAGGAGTTCAAAACCTGCCTGGGCAATATAGCGAGACACCGTTGTCCACAAAAAGGAAAAAATGAAGACAAAAAAATTTGTTACTAATAGACTCCCCAACAATAAATACTAACAGAAGCTCTTTATTCTGAAGAGAAATGACACAAGGTATTAACTCAAAGGAATGAAGGAAATAAGGAATGAAGAACCCCAGAAATGGTGAATAAGGAGGTATGTACACACACACACACACACATACACACACACACATACACACATATTTCTCTTAATTTGACAAATGACTATTTAAAGCAAAAATTATAATGCCATATTGGGGGTTTAACATATATAGATGTAAGATTTATAATAAGAATAGCACAGAGGACAGATGGGGAGCATACAGAAGCAAAATGTTGTAAATTTCCTATATTTTGCATAGAGTGGTATGAAACTCACTCAACAGATCATGACAAAGATGCATATGATAATCCCTAGTCTGGGTGAAAAACAATGCAAAGAGATATGATAACAAGCCAACAGAGAAATTAAAACGAAATATTAAAAAATATTTACTAACCCAAAAGGCAGGAAAGGAGGAAAAAAGGAAAAAAAAGCACATGGGACATATAGGATATCAAAACAGGAGCTCGAAATCCAACTAGATCAATACTTACGTAGGATATAAACATAAAAATCTCATCACTCCAATTAAGGGCAGAGGTAACCATGTATAAAAAGGTAAGGCCCAACTATATGCTGCCTACAACAAATGTACTTTAAATGCAAAGACAGATGAAAAAAATAGATCGTACAAACACTAAGCGTGAGAGAACTGGAATGGCTGTGACGGTATCAGACAAAATATACTTTTTTTTTTTTTTTTTTTGAGACGGGGTTTCGCTCTTGTTACCCAGGCTGGAGTGCAATGGCGCGATCTCGGCTCACCGCAGCCTCCGCCTCCTGGGTTCAGGCAATTCTCCTGCCTCAGCCTCCTGAGTAGCTGGGATTACAGGCACGTGCCACCATGCCCAGCTAATTTTTTGTATTTTTAGTAGAGACGGGGTTTCACCATGTTGACCAGGATGGTCTTGATCTCTCGACCTCGTGATCCACCCGCCTCGGCCTCCCAAAGTGCTGGGATTACAAGCTTGAGCCACTGCGCCCGGCCGACAAAATAGACTTTAAGAGTATTTCTAGAGCTAAGGAGGAAAGGAGAGCCATTTCATAATTATAAAAGGGCTGATATATATGAAAGACATAGAAACCATGAATATGTATTTGCTTAATGACAGAGCTTCACAATTACACAACACAACAAATGACATGTACATCCTGCCCAAGGCCAGTTATCCAAGAATGTAAAGTTGTTTTACCATTTGAAAACAAATCGTTGTAATTTACCATATTAACAAATAGAGAAGAAAAACCATATCAGAATCTCCATACAGGGACCAAATAAACATTTGAAAAAGTCAATAAACATTTACAATAAAAACTCAAAAAAAAAAAAAAAAAAAAAAAGAAATAGAAGGGAATTTCCTCAATCTGATAAAAGACATCTGCGAAAAACCTATAGCTAACATCCTACTTAAAGGCGCAATGTGAACTCTTTCCCTAACGCTGGGGAAAGATGAGGATGTCTGCTCTCCGCATTTCGAGTTAACCCGGTAGCGGAGGGCCCAGTCATTATAATATGACAAAAAAAAAAAAAAAAAAAAGTATAAAGATCGAAACAGAAAAAGTAAAAGCATCCCTATTCACAGATGATAGGATCGTATCTCTACAGAAATCGATTCCTATTCTTAATTATATATGGTAAATTCCATTCATTATAGGGTTAAAAAATGTGAAATGCCTAAGGCCTTTGCACTCAAAACTATTGCATTGTTGACAGAAATTAAAGATGACCTAAATAACAAGTTCTAACCTATTCATTAATTGAAAACTCAGGATTTGTAAGATAATAGTTCTCTCCAAATTGGCTCATATAGTCAGTATAATCCCTATCATAATCCCAGCAGAAATTGAAAGGTGATTCTAAAATTCATGGAAAAATGAAAAGGACTTAAAATAGCCAAAACAATGTTGAAAAAGAACAATGTTGGGACATTACATGACCTGGTCTTAAAGGCTAATAAGCTATGGTAATCAAGACCCTGTGGGATGAGAGTAAGAACTTACCTATTTTTTTTTTAAATCTTCTCAACCAATTTTACTACTTCATTGCTAATAAAATGTGGGCCTTCTAAAGGTCCTAAATGAGGTCTGTTTTATGCTGCTATTACTATGTTGTTATTATTATGAAGCATTTTTATTTTATTTTATTTGCTTTTTGAGACACAGTCTCACTCTGTTGCCCAAGCTGGATGGAGCACAGCAGTGTGATCTCGGCTCACTGCAAACTCTGTCGCATGTTCAAGCAATTCTCCTGCCTCAGCCTCCCAAGTAGCTGGGATTACAGGTGTCTGCCATCACGCCAGGCCAATTTTTGTATTTTTAGTAGAGACAGGGTTTCACGATGTTGACCAGGTTGGTCTCTAACTCCTGACCTCAGGTGATCCGCCCACCTTAGCCTCCCAAAGTGCTGGGATTCAGGCGTGAGCCACCAAGCCCAGCCTGTGATGCATTTTTGCTATTCTTTCAATAGACAGTGTGTTTCTCCCTGCATCCAGGCACGTGGTGTTACGTAAGTGTTCATGTCATCCATGTCTGCACTATGCCCTGTCTGTTTTAATAGTGTCTGTTAAAACAACGACCATTATCCATCATAGACAACCAGTCTCAGTCCTCATGGTGCTGATGAAACACCAAAGCCACAAAGCTGCTTTTCCTGAAATAACGTACCCGAGGTGGGGGGCCGGCTGGTTTTTGATGACACCCATTTTGGTGAGGACTCGGGATGTGGGGCCACAGGTTGCACTGGACGAGTCTGTTTGGCTGCCAGTTTCATCAGACTCATTTGCCTCTTGTGAAATACTTCCTGCACATCGCCCAGCCTCTGCAGGACTTGCTGGGCTTTGGCCTGTAGTAACGAAAGCAAATCATGATTAAAGTGTCTCTCTGCATACAGCCTGAGGACGCAAAGCATTTCCTTTCTCGAACCTTCCCCTACTCCCCACATCCCTACCTCCCTCAGGTGACCCCCCACCCCGGGCATCATTATGCAAGATGTGTCCTGCCATGCTTCAGAATTGTGCTTCTAAGGATCAGCTTCTCCTACTTGAGACCCTCCAGGGCAATGCATTCTTTCACTATGGTGTCTCCAGTGCCTGGAACACCCTGGCACAGGAGTTTGAGACCAGCCTGGTCAACTTGGTGAAACCCCGTCTCTACTAAAAACACAAAATTAGCCAAGTGTGGTGGCGGGCGCCTGTAATCCCGGGTACTCGGGAGGCTGAGACAGGAGAATAGCTTGCTCGGGAGGCAGAGGTTGCAGTGAGCTGAGATTGCACCACTGCACTCCAGCCTGGGCGACAGAGCAAGACTCTGTCTAGAAAATAAAAATAAAAATAAACAAACAAACAATTAGAATACAGTGCGGTTTACATCATGTTAGATAGAGCAAAGGCTCTTAGCCTGAGTCCATGGATGGACTTCAGAGCATTCCCCAGAGTGACATCAACAGTGAAGACAGGCTGGACCCTCCCTGTTCCAGCCTGCTCCTCCACGGCATCCTCTCTCCCCTGCCCTCTGCCCAGGAAGCTCCTACAGCAGAGGTGCAGACCAGGCAATGAGGCTCTCAGAGGAAGGTGATCTATGGCCAACGCTGCTGGCTTCATGGAAGAATGCGCTTCGCAAACGCAAATCCGATCAACTTACTCCCCTGCTTAAATCCAAACTCCGTCCTGTGGCCCACAAAGCCCACCCTGCCTGCCTCTCTCTGACCTCACCCCAGACACACTTCTGTTGCTCTCCAGCTTCCAGCAGCCTGGCCTTTTGGTCTGCACCATGCCAGGCTCCCTCAGGCCTGGACGCTTTGCACAGGCTGTTCCTCCTGTCTGGAAAGGCTCTCGCATCTTCTCGTTTTCCATGCTTTAGCTGAAGTGACCCTTCCTGAGAGCCTTCTCTGACCCCAGACCAGGCCAAGTTCCTCTGCCACATGCCTGACCCTAATCCCTCCTTGACAGCACTTACATCAGCTTGTAACACATTTTTGTGTGATTATTGTGTTAATGTCAGCCTCTCCCACGAAACTGCAGGCTCAGTGAGGTTGGAAGCGTGCTTGTTTCTGCTCACCGTGGTGGCCTAGCATGTAGCACAGCGTGGGGTATGTCAGAAATGCTCATAAGCATTAACAGAGAAATGACTCATTTAGGCAGACAAAGTGTCAGTGTGCCAGGACGTTCAGGCCGGGAGGCTAAGAGGCCATAGGAGGGCTTCAGAACCAGTTAGCCGACGCGATACCGCCTGCTCAGGACACCCTGCGTGTACTTTATCAGGAAGAAGGTACAGTGCCTCCCTCCCCTTCTGTTTCCCAACCACAGCATCAACTCAGGAGCATTACCTTTGCATCGAGGGTGAGTAGCAACTCAAACTCGTCGTAAAACTCCTTGGGGCTGAGCAACGGGTCCTCCTTGGCTGTGTCCAGGAATGTCGCAATGTCGTTCAAGGCGCTGTCAACCCCCTCTCGAGACTGGCACTTGTCTACAGCTTGGGAAGCCAAGAGGTAGATTCCTGCCTCACACCATTGACTGACCTTTAGGAAAGAAACAGTGCCCTGTGTGCTTAGCCTGACCACAACTCAGAGCCACCATCGTTCTCAGCATGTCTGAGCTTGTAAGATGTCTACAAGGATTCTGAGACAATGGGAAATTGTCACGGGACAGCATAAAGTATAAGGGGTCTAACCACAGCAAATTATACTAAGAGGGGGACAAGCCCAAACCAATTTACACCTGTTCACTTATCAGAGAAGGCACCTGGTCAGCAAAATGAGTCATACACCATTCTTCTCTCTTCCACGGACAGTAGTTGCTACATCTCTAGGAGACAGCTAAATATATATTTAATTTGAGACAAGGTCTCACTCTGTCACCCAGGCTGGAGTGCAGCAGTGTGAACACGGCTTACTGCAGCCTAGAGAGGTCCCTCCCAGCCTCAGGGGATCCTCCCGGCTTAGCCTCCCAAGTAGCTGGGGCTGCAGACACATGCCACCACACCAGGCTAATCTCTCTTTTCTTTTCTTTTCCTTCCTCTTTCTCTCTCTCTTTCTTCCTTTTTCTTCCTCTCCTTTCTCTTTCTCTCCTTCCTTTGCTTTCTTTCCTTTCCTTTCTCTCTTTTAACGGGTTTTCTTTTCTTTTGACAGGTTTTAGCCATGTTGCCCAGGCTGGTCTCGAACTCTTGGGCTCAAGCAATCCTCCCACCTCAGACTCCCAAAGTGCTGGGATTACAGGTGTAAGGCCCTGCACTGCCCAGCCTTATAGCTAAATACCCCTTAGGCTGGTCGAAACACAGAGCAAGGTAATGAATGGCTTTTCGGCTTTACCTGCTAGGCCACTTGTCTTGCATCCTAACTGGTTACCAGAACACACGGTGATTAATGAGACATTAGACTTGGCCCTAACATCTCCTGGGAGAAGGGAGTGTCCCTTTAAAAAAAAAAACACAACTTTCCTCTCTGGATTCCCAGGTAATGCCTGTTTGCATTTACTGGTGTTTGACTTTCCGAAGGAAGCAAGAATGCAAAGCTTTGTAGTTCAGCACAGCAATATTCAAAGTTTCAGGACGCTGGGAGGACATCAGATAGGTGATGAATTCTAATTATTCAATTTATAGAAAAAGACTCATGTTCGTTACTCTTTTGAACTCCACTGAGACACTTGAATAGAAAGACAGGGACCCTTATGCCACTTGAAGAGTGATGTGAAACGAAGCTCCCAGCTCAAGCACATCTGCACTTGATGTGACCCAAAAAGCAATATAACTATCCCGAGAAAAAAGATCGAAATGGAACACTTCAAAGCAGTTATCTAAGTGGGAAAGAGTATTATATTTAAAATAAAATCAATATATAACTTACATTTGGTTAAGTTAAATATTTATGATAGGCAATTTAAGATCAATATGATAGGCAACTTAAATGTTTTATCTTACTTTTTTCCTAGATTATTTACAGTGAATATGTACGACATTTAGAATACTAAATAGCAATAAAGAGATTTCAGAATTAATAGCTACCATTATGCAGGGATATGGGATAGTGGGATATGTATGTGCCCATGAGTAACCTTTTTCTTCCTGTATTTTTGGATTTCCACAATAACATGTATTCATGCTTTGATATATACTTTGAAAACTTTCTCTTCACATATCATGTTTAGATCTGCGAAAAACAATAGGCTGGGGGCTTCTGAGTTACTATAGCTACTTGCTCTCTCTCTACCCCCCCCAACACACACACACACACACACACACACACACACACACACACACCACACACACCAGGCTTACTATCTCTGGAGCAGAAATGGAGTTGGGAAAGCAGAAGTGGATTCTGCAGTGAGCTCAGCACATACAGCTGGCTGCGCACCAGCCCCTTCAGAGCCACTTGCTTCTGGAACAACTGGATTTCATTGATCCTAAAATCCCTTTTGCCATGGGATGAGGTAAGCAGCCCGGGTGGGTGCCCCCTGCCATGTGAGAGGAGCAGCTGTGGGGATGGAGCATGCTGACTCACTGCCATCAGCCACATGCTGGCTGGGAACAGCTGACGGGGAAGGCTCCAGAAACAGTGCTCCTGCTGACTGGGAACACACCCTAGAGGTCACCTCCAAAGGGCACCAGTGTTTGCACACCCCTGCCCCTGCAAGGCCCCTTACGTGCGGCCTTGCCGTCTATCCTGTGACGCCTGCGTGTGGCATCTGGCAGGCCTGACTTCAATTCTGCCTTCCTGTTTGCACCACGTGTGGTCTTGGGTGGTCACTTATCCCAAGGTTTCCTGGTGTCATCCCTGCACCACCTGCACCAGAATCACTCAGGCACTTTACTAAAAGACTAGTTCCTGGACAATATTCCAGACCTACTGACACTGGGTCTCCAGGGCAGTGCTTGAGGGAATCTGCCACATAACAGCTCGCTAGGTGATTCTCGTGGGCGAAACTTCCAGACCCAGCAGAGCATCAACTTCTGCCTCTGCACAATGAGGCCCTTCCTCAGAGGGCGCCTTGAGGGTTATAAACAGATGACATAATTAGGTTCCTGATAGGAAGACAGCAGGGGCTCAATACATGGTAGGGGTATAAGATGGTCCTTATGACTAAGCTTCTCCAAAGAGAGTCCAAATCCTTGCCTTTCTATGAGGGAAGCACTCTGCAACTATAGTGCATGGTTCTCTGTACACCTGAAAGGAAATCAAGCGTTCCCACAGAGCCAGGCCAAAACACACTAAGCCTGGCTCCACACAGATAGACACGGGCTTTAGTTCATGCTAATGGCATGTGGTGGCATGGCCAGAGCACTTTGGACCTTCAATACCTCTACAACCTAGGATCCGCTCAGGTTTTCATGACTCTTGAACTTGAACCTGTCGGCAGTCACGTCAGGAAGGGAGGACAAGTATGACAGAAGCCTCTTCACAGAAAACCTTGCAGACGTCATGTTCTTGGCTGTGCGCTGCTCACCTTGTCCAGCTGTCTGTGCAATTCCAAGGACTTTCCAAAAACGTCCCGTTTCTTCTTGTTTTCATTGATGAAATCGTCACAGAGGTGCCTGAGCTCCACGCACTGGGGCCTGATGGCATCTGCTGCATCATGGTGGCTTTGGATGAGCTGGTCCCCAACCAGTGCCAGCAGCTGTGCCTTTTCCAGGGGCTCCTGCAAAGTGAACATCCACAGCCAGGCCTCAGAAGTCAGGGTTTCGTGAGGCTGACAGCTCCCTGGTACCCTACGCTCCAAGCCTGGAGGGAGGCGGGGGAGATGCTGACCCAGGACGAAGGCTGGAGAACCTCAGAAAGCTCTGAATGGTTCCGGGCCCAGGAAGCTGAGCCTGGCCCAGAGCTGTCCACACTCTCAACAACAGCAGTCATTCATTCATATACCTGCTGAGTTCTGGGCTAGACACTGAGGATGCAGTGTTAACAAGTCAAACACTATCAGATTAATGGAGAATTCAGCTACTAACTAAATCATACAAACTATTAAATTATTAGAATTGCAATAAACTCTGGGGCAGAGAAGCTCGGAGCGCACATTGTAAGAGATTCTGAATAGCGCTATTAACTACAGGAACAAGAACAGGGACTCACACTTGTCTTTGAGGAGAGTTGAGGGTGAGCTGAGGTGGAGACACTGGTGAAAATTGGGTTTGGACAACTCGAAGGTGGTCACGACACTTAAGAAATATGCTTATCTAGGCCAGGCGTGGTGGCTCACACCTGTAATCCCAGCACTTTGGGAGGCCAAGGTGGGTGGATCACGAGGTCAGGAGTTTGAGACCAGCCTGACCACATGGTGAAACCCTGTCTCTACTAAAAAAACAAAAATTAGCCGGGTGTGGTGGTGGGTGCCTGTAATCCCAGCTACTCAGGAGGCTGAGGCAGGAGAATCACTTGAACGTAGGAGGCGGTGATTGCAGTGATCCGAGATCACACCACTGCACTCCAGCCTGGGTGACAGAGCGAGACTCTGTCAAAAGAAGGAATGAAAGAAGGAAAGGAGGGAGGGAGGGAGGAAGGAAGGAAAAGAAATACACTTTTTTAAACCCTTCCCAAGGCCTGCAAGGACCCTGTCTACACTGATCCCATCTGCGCTGTCCCCGTCCATGGTGATCCTGTCTACACTGACCCCGTCCGCGCTGGCCCTGTCTGCGCTGACCCCCGTCTGCGCTGACCCCCCATCTGTGCTGACCCCCTATCTGTGCTGACCCCATCTGCGCTGATCCCGTCTACGCTGATCCAGTCTGCGCTGGCCCCGTCTGCACTGACCCAATCTGTACCAATCCTGTCTACACTGACCCCGTCTACACTGATCTTGTCTACACTGACCTCGTCTACACTGATCCCATCTACACTGATCCCGTCTTCTCATCACATTTCCTACCTCTTTCTGCATGATACTTTGCTCTAACCATGTGCCAAGTTTCCTGTTTTTTAAGCATTCCTTCATTCATCTGTCTCATATTGCTGAGAACCTACTATGTGCCAAACACTGTCATAGATGCTGGGGTTTCATTGGTAAAGAAAGTAGGCAAAAATCCCGACCTCATGAAATGAAGCTTACATTTTAATGGAAGACAGAGGCAATAAACGATGGCATGTGCAGATTATACAGCATCTTAGACAGCCGCGAGTACATGGAGAAAGCTTAGACCAGGCGTCCCCAAACTACGGCCCCCGGGCTGTATGCGGCCCCCTGAGGCCATTTATCTGCCCCCCCTCCCCCCCCCCGCTGCAATTCAGGAAGGGGCACCTCTTTCATTGGTGGTCAGTGAGAGGAGCACAGTATGTGGCAGCCCTCCAACAGTCTGAGGGACAGTGAACTGGCCCCCTGTGTAAAAAGTTTGGGGACGCCTGGCTTAGACAGTGGGAGGGCAGGGAGTGCTGGAACTGGTGTTTTAAACTGGATTGTGAGAGAAGGTCTCCCTGAGAAGGAGCTATTCCAGCTATGCAGAAAAGACTTCTCATAGAAAGCCTGAGAGTAGGCCAGGCACAGTGGCTGGCCTGTAATCCCAGCACTTTGGAAGGCTGAGGTGGGTGGATTGCCTGAGCTCGGGAGTTTGAGACCAGTCTGGGCAACACAGTGAAACCCCATCTCTACTAAAACACAAAAAATTAGCCAGGTGTGGCAGCATGCACCTGTAGTACCAGCTACTCTGGAAGTTGAGGCAGGAGAATTGCTTGAACCTGGGAGGTGGAGGTTGTGGTGAGCTGAGATTGTGCCACTCCAGCCTGGGTGACAGAGCAAGATGCCACATCTTCAAAAAAAAAAGGAAAAACAAAAAGAAAAGAAAGCCTGAGACTACCAGCCTTAGAAAGAGCTGACTGCAAGACTGGCCCTTTGTTGGCATCTAGGAACTTAGATTTGGGGAAAGTTCCTTTCATTTCCTGATAAGAGTAGTTCACAATGCTTGAACTCTTTGTGCAAACAGTATGGTTTACGGTGATTACCTGCTTTCCTTCTGAGACTCTGGAAACTTGCTACTTGCCGGACAGAAGTTGCCCACATGACCAGCCACCAGTAAAAGCTCTGTGCATTGAGTCTGTCATGAGCTTCCCTGGCAGACAACATTTCACACGTGTTGTTACAACCCGCAGATGGGGGGCAGGAAGCAGGTCCTGTGTGACTCCCACAGGAGAGGATTCGAAGAGGCTTGTGCCTGGTTTCCTCCATACGTCACCTGGCGTGCCTTTCCCCTTTGCTGATTTTGCTTAGTACTTTGTCATCATAATAGCTCATAACTCTAACACAGCTGCATGCAGAATCCTCCCAGTGAATCTTCAAATTTGCACATGGTCCTGGGAGTGCTCTGGACACAAGCCAAGACCTGAAGTCAGGCACAAGCCACAGGGCATTTGGCTGGGAGGTGAGGGAGCGTCTGACAAGTTCGGGTAGCAGGAAGGAGGCCAGTGTGGCTGCCGCCGAGGGAGCAGGCAGGAAGTGAGTAGCAGCAGCCAGAGGAAAGAGGGGGTTCCGTGGGGAGGGCCTCACTGCCCTGTGAGCAGTGTGGCTTTATTCTCATTGTGAGAAGGATCTCGCTCATGTTTTTGAAAGGACTGCTTCATGTACAGTATCCAGAATAAGAGGAAACACAGGAGACCTGGAGGCCCGGCTGCTGTAGGAACCCAGCTGAGAGCTACGGCTTCTGCCTGACTCACGGCCCTTCTCCGGACTGTTCTTCCCTGGTTCCTGCAGAGCGGAGCTCCTGGTCACCTCCTCACGGGCTTTCCCCGGCTACTGGATCTCAAGTCATTCTCTACAACCCGACACCCACTCACCTAGACCCTCTCCCTCACTTTAATTCTTTAACACACTTACAGGTACTGATCGACTTACGACCTATGCAGCTTACGACCATTCGACTTTACGACCACAGTCGCTAGCCACAACTGCTCCGCGTCTGGCAGCGCAAACGTTGCCCAGCTTGGCGGACGACAGTGCGGACCAGCTTCCAGCAGTGCTGCCATCTCCGCGTGTACCATTTCAACTGTTATCCCAGACTCGGTACAGCAATTTGTGTTTTGTACATGTTTATATATTTTGATATGTTTTGCAATTGGGAAAATGTTTCCTATGGTATTTTTCACACCTGTATTTTGTAATTTTGTATGTTTTGCAAATATTAAACCAGTTGTACTGGTAATGCAGTGTTTTACTTAAACCTGGCGAATGTAAAAATAAGAAACAAAATGGTGTAGAGATGATACAAATGGCATAAAATGAACCAAGAAAATTATGATACATAATAATGAAAGAAAATTATGATAAAATATGACTTAAAGATTTTTATAACATCATTTCACAGTACTGTACATATCGCCTACTCGACTTACAACCAAATCGTGTTACGACCAGTCTGTCGGAACCAATCGTGGTCGTAAGTCGAGCACCAGCTCTCTCTCTATCTAAACACTATTTATTTCCTTTAGTGTAGAGTTCCTCCCTCCTCCACTCACTCCCACCCACATGTAAGTTCCACAGGAGCATTTAGTAGTCATCCAATAAATATTTATCAACAAAACGAATGAATGAGCCAACAAGCTAGATGAGGCAGGGATCTGCTTGGCTGGGACTACTTGATGCGATCTGGCCTTTGGCATCAACGCAGACTGCCACATTCCAAAGGGTCTCCAGGAGCAGAGAGCCCGCGGGCCCTCCCCCCAGCCACATCAGGCATCCAGCCCATCCCATCTGCTCTGCTTTAGCTGTTCACAGTAACGTAAGGAGTCACGGCCACTCCAGGTGCGTTCAACCTGCCCCTCTCTTCACTTGCTCTGTTTATGGTTTCCAGGATTTCCAAACCCTTCTCCTACTCTCCCACACATGGAAGCCCTTCAGGGCCCATCGCCTCTTAATGCCTTTCAGATTCTGACCCCATCTGCCACTTCCTGGCCACTGCTGGCTCCGGCCTCATGCCTTCTCATGGGGACAGTTGGCCTCGCTGCTTTTCTTCAGGTTCTCCTTCAAATCAGGCTCCAGGCAGCTGACAAAGGAGCAATTCCAACACATCTTATGAAGTTACCTCACTCCCAAGCTTCACGCCCTTTCCTGGGCCCCCAAAGTCTTCAGGAGCAAGCTTAAACTTTTGAGCAATGCAAACAGGGCCTTTTGTTATCTAGCTCATACCTGGGTGTGCCTCTTAACAAGTCCTCCTCCACTTCCTCAACTCCATTCTCTGCTGCAACCATACTAATGACCCAAGCGTTGTTCCCCAAATACTCAGGCCGCCTCAGGCCTCCACGCCTTCTCCATCTGTTGTCTGCCTAGGAAGCCCATCCTTCCCTACTCCCCCTCAATCCCCCTCCTCTGGGGCCAATGTGATCTGCATCTCATTTCAGACTTCACCTTCTCCAGAAAACTTTCTCTGTGTTTCTCCTGATCAGAGCACCTGCTTCATTGTGCTGTGACCATTTATCTGCTGCCTGCATGATGCCACAGACCCTTCTGGTCCAGAACCAGCTCATATTCAACTGAAAACAGGCATGGCACATCTTAGGTACTTACAAATAAATGCTGCACAAAACAGAGAGGAGTAATGGCATAGAAACAAGCAACACGAATCAAGCAGTGGCTAGTCAAAGGACTGAGGCAAAAACACACAGAGCACTTGTTTGAAACAGCAGAGGCCCAGGCGCACTGGGTACGTCCCCTACAAGAAG